GGGGTTCGTAAACACCGCACTTAGGCTAAGTTTCAGATTCGAAAAACAATGAGGCAGGTACAAAGGGAACAAACTGAGCAGCAGATGTCTGTTTTCTCTGGGTGTGTGTGTGTGTGTGTGTGTGTGTGTGTGTGTGTGTGTGTGTGTGTGTGTGTGTGTGTGTGTGTGTGTGTGTGTGTGTGTGTGCACGTGCGTGCGCGTGCGTGCGTGCGTGTGCGTGTGCGCGTGCGTGCGTGTACCTCTCGCATGATGCCCTGGTCATGGCAGGGGCAGAGGGCTGGGATGACACACACACCCTCAGAGTTTCTGTAGAGTCCGTCCTCACACACGCAGCCCTCGGTTGAGTGGCTGCAGTTCACCGGAGAGGAGGAGTAAATGTCCTCGCAGCTCCTCTCACACAGCGGGACCTCCTCCGACTCACTCCTCTTCCATCGCTCCCCGTCAGGACACACTGCAGGGGGAGGGGGGGGGGATATGAGGGGAAGAAAAGGTGTTAGGATGTAGAGGTCAAATAGAGAGAGGAGCGACGATGAGACAGGAGGATGGTATGATGGAGAGGAGACATGTTTGCTGTATTTAACATTTTAAAACCATTTATAAAACGAGTTAAAACACCCACTCTCTAAACCCACTCCCATGAAGAGTTAGTAAAGATCTATCCTAAGTTTAAGAAATGCTAAAATACTAGTAAGGTGGTATTGAACAAGTGAAAAAGTGTGAATTCAAGCAAGGACCGATGGGACTGACACAAATTAAGCATTAAGGCTCAGATTGGGACGAGGTTAGGACCATGGGTATATATATATATGACAAAACAAAGAAAGGTTTTTTAATCAGGGCTAACTCAGCATGTCTCATTTGAGATTTGATTGCTTGATTTCAGCTAGAAAAAATGACACTACTACTACTGAAGTAATGTTAACCTTTCCTTTCTCACAACACAACACGTTCTGGTCCTGGAAACAATGGTAACCATATGCTGTTCTACTGTGCTGATTAAATTGGCCATTTTTAAAATAATGTTTGTAACATATGTTTCCGTCCGACTATAGGACTATAGAAATACAAATAATTCTTCATAAATATCCCAAGAACCTGAATGAATACAGGCTTTCCGCCTTGACATCACAAACTATGATGTTATTTGAAAAGTTTGTAAAAATCGTTGAGTCGTGCAAGTACTTTGGCATTACAGTCAATAATAAACTGATAAAGCTGTCTAAGTTCAATATTGACAGATCCCTGATGATTTTGTTGTACTTTGAATTATTTTCATTTGTTATATTTTTTCCTTTTAACCTTAAAATAAAAATAAAAATGTATTAACAACAAGGTCTTTAGCAGTATCACAGGTACTGAAAGTCTGGCAGTTATGTCAAGGCTCAGCTCGAATAGAAAAGGATATTATCACTTTGACCATCCATCCAAAGTGAAATATTGCTCTTAATGGATGTTTAACTCATATACTTTTAGTTTTACTGTCCAGAGACACAAACATTCATATTGATATGTCAAGCACTCAGTAAGATTCTGTATGCTGTGCTTTCTTGACTATCTGTTAATAATCACCTACTGCTGCTGCACAATTTATTCCGAATAATGATAAATAAAACCTCTGCTGCCTTTCCTCCCCTCACTCACCACAGTCAGGGGCAATGCAGGTGGTTGTGCGGCGGTCAGGGCCCTCACATGAGGCCCCTCCATACAGGCTGGGCTGCAGGATGGTTCTGCTGGAGATCTGTTGTCCCGTACCACAGCTTTCTGAGCACGGAGTCCACGGGGACCAGCTGGACCACTCACAGTCCACTGCAGAGGGGAGATAATCATGCTTAGGTCAGTGTATTCATTAACCCTCATCTGTAAAGCAAGACAATATTTTCCATCTGAGCATTATTCTTCAGCTCGGCCCAATACATAAAAGCCATTTGTTATTGGAAACACACACACTAGAAGGAAGTCACATTATGCACAAAAGAAACACATTTCTTTCTGGTCTCAAACAGGACAGTCTACTTTATGTGGCTGTCACTTGGAGAAAAATGAACAAAAGGATGAAGGCAGGAATAATCAATCACATTAAATACCAAATACATGTTTGTATTATTCCTTCTTTTTGAGACAAAATGTGATGGGGCTCGGGTAGGATCTAAGGACATTTCCAGTAATAAAAGACCCGGACCTTTATCTCTAATGTTCAATCCAAAATGACGATTGGTCATGTGGAGCTTTTGGAAAAACAGACTCTGGTAAGAACAAAGGGATTATAATGAAAACAACACAATAATACACAAAGCATTGTATACATTCCACAATGTTCTTACCAGAGTGTGTTTTCCTAAATATCCACTTTAGATGAGAGCAACCCACCTGAGTATTTTCCCCTTTTTGGGTGAAACATTCGCTGTCATCGGTAAACACAGATTCTGAGGTTTTCGCCAATTACGATGGTCAGTCAGGTAAACAATTAAACAATATCATTGGAAATTGATGATCGCAACGATATAAAGTTCAAATAAAAGCAATAGGGGGTTGATGTTCTGTCAATCTGCCGGTGGACAAGTGGCATACAGCATGCAAACACTTAAACTGGCATTTCCTTGGCTTGTCAGTGTTATATATTTTAATTCTGCCTATACAGTAATTCACTTGACTTTACATGTTTACTTTGACAATTGACCTTATTGGCCTTATAACATAGCTGTGATGATGTGTTTCCCACAGACCTCCATGTAATGACTGAACATGCCGTATATATCTTATCGTCATTTTTAAAGTAAAAATATAGCAAATCTGAACTTTAGATCTTTGTGTTGTTTGGCTTGTGATATAAAACACAGCAGCTTTTAGGCAGGGAAAGATATTTGTTTTGCTTTTCACTGATTCGTTGGTTTCAGCGGAAAGTGGGCGGGGCCATCAGTTTTGCCAGGCAGTGACTTAGAGCTGCTCTCATCTATGGAACTATTGCTATGATTAATACACTGCTCTCTGTGAAAGAGGAATTCACTTAGAGCTCATCCAGAGGAGAGACGAGGAGGATAAAAGGCACTGCTTATCAAACGATGAGGGATAAAAACATTGGTCGAATCACAGAGCGAGTTGTGACACTCTGCTTCCTATTATCTCTCATCTCTCTCCCTCTGCTAGTTTAAGATGTTATCGTGATATGTTTACGAAAACAAAAACCCAGTAATGGCCTTTGTAGGCCGTGATTGATATGACTGTCGCTCAGTTATTTGAGCCAACTGTTGCAGCAGCTGTTACTCACTATAGATAGGTTGACATATTTATCATGGACCTGACAGTTCAACCAAAGATTATTGTTGCCGGTACTTTCCATGTTAAAAGAGAGGGGCCCTATGAAGAGCAGGATATGCGTTTGGTAAGAACAGCTGTGACAGAGCATCACTCACCATCACAGATCTCAGAGGAACAGTTGAAAAGTCCTCTTTGACACACACTGTGAGAGAGAAAAATCAGGTGAGTGACACAATATGAGGGAAAAAGCAAAACTGACATTATTGAAAACTGAGAAACTTAAGCAATTATTATTTGTCGATTTATTGAACATGTCAAACAATAATCATAAAAATAATTATAATAACAAAGAGAAGCAAAATTAAAAATTAAAAGAACTTTCAAGGTATACAAATAAACAATGACAATTGTTCAAAAGGGGCAAGAAGAAGCTTAAAATCGTTGTTGGTCCTATAGAACAAATCATTCCATTCAAAACAAACAAAAGCAAATAACTTTTACAATGACAAGAAATGACAAGCAATAGTTCCTGCTCATAACCATTCAGGATTTGGTTTCTAAATAATTGTTTTAGTTTAGATACAGTTGCACAGTATTTCAGCTCATCATTACAGTAATTCCACAGACCTTTTGTTGGGATGCTATGAAGTTTGGAATTTGTTCGAATGGGTGGTTATATTTCACCCTTGGCCCCTACACACGGCGGCGTGCGTTGCCGCTTCAACGCTTCTGCCAATTCACTTTGAATGGGGTGACGTCACGATTCGCCGAACTGCATTGTGGGAGCAAAGCGTAACTTCTTTCGCGGTGCTCGCTGCAAAAGTAGAGCAATGTTCTACTTTTGACGCCTTGACGGAGGCGTCAGCCAATCGAATCATATGCCAGTGCAAGCTCTAGCCAATCAAGCCGTGTGCTTGTGTGTCTGGGGCGGGAGATTCATGTGATTGGTTGTTGGTCGAGTTTCAGCCCCCCCCGCCGGCAACCGACAACGCACGCCGCCGTGTGTAGGAGCCGTGCGTTGGCGCTTCCCCATTCACTTTGAATGGGGTGACGTCACTTTTTGCCGAACTGCATTTTGGGAAGCGACGCGTTGCTGGCGTTGCTGGCGTCGCTGGCGTCGCTGGCGTCGCTGGCGTTGCTGGCGTTGCTCGCTTCAAAAGTTGAGCAATGTTCAACTTTTGGCGCCTCGGCAGAAGCGTCAGCCAATGAAATCCCGTTTATGCAAATCTGCCAGTACAAGCGCTAGCCAATCAAACCGCGTGTATGCTGGGAGAGACTACGCAGGTCATTTTCCTCATATTCCAAAGAATTGAGGAAAAATTCATTATAGCGGTAGTGAATAACCCGGTGCTGTATGATCAGTCTCTGTTCATTTACCGGGATACAAACCGGAGGAGCCAGGCATGGAGGGAGGTGGCAGAGACAGTGGGTGAAACTGGTAGGTTTTCGCCTGTTTGGGGATTTTATATCCAGTTTACTTCGTTTTAACATTGCTATTGCTTTGTATGTCGGGGGCGGGAGATTCATGTGATTGGTTGTTGGTCGCGTTGCTCGCAAAAAATCCCCAAGCTTCAGATACGCCCACCGCCAAGCGTCAACGCACGCCGCTGTGTGGACGGGCCGTTAGACAGTGAGAGGGAGGGCATGATCGGGTTTTGTCCCACATGGCTCTAAACAGCTCAATAGGCACACACTGTAGACACTAGTTAGAAGAACACAGACTAAAACAGCAATGTACAGACGAATCAGATGATTAAACATGATCTTAAAATATATTTTATATTTATTATTTTTTTTTTGTAATCATTATTTTTAATACTTTCTGATGACACTAGGTGGGGCTGTGACCAGTCGCCACTGCTCACAGGTGCAGCTTTCCTAGTTCGTGAAGAGACAGAACCATATCATCTGCAAAGAGCAGAGACACAAGTTTGAGGTTTGGTGGTTTACCAGAACTTGAGGGCAAGTCCTTCCCAGATTCTTTTTGGAATGTTGCCAAACTCCTTTCTGGTCCTAACTGCAATGTTGACGCACATTTCCGGTAAACAACAATAGATCTGTATGGCACCGAGGATGAGGTTATATCAGGCTTTGGCTACCAACAAACCTCTTGGTAGGATTGATTCATAGTTGTTTGTTTGGTCTGTTCAGTGGATATGCTGACAATAAGGAAGATATATATATATATATA